GATAGATAGATAGATAGATAGATAGATAGATAGATAGATAGATAGATGATAAGAACCAATTTCCCACTCTATCAGCTGTCTCATGAGGCCTCCAAAGCTGCCCCTAAGGGGTAACATAGTAAGGAAAACATGAAAACATGCTTGGGCGAAGGGTTTTAGGCAGGACAGAAATGACCTCAGTGTCTGGGTTGAAGCATCCTCCTGAAGGCACTGTGAGAGACAGGAATAGGTATCCCGTATAACAGCATCTGCAGTAGCTGGGGACAAGTGGACTCAGATGTGACAGCCATGAGACAATGGTAAAAGAGGGTGTAGGAAAGAATGAAGCCATGTTTTTGTTCTGAGTTGCGACTGTTGCTGGTCACCACATGGGGACCAAGAAGAAAGGTTTTATGAGGTGGGAGGAGGTGTGTAAGTGAATTTAGCTGACTGAAGCAAGCTCAAGTAGAAGGAGATGGAGGCATCATGGGAGTGAGTTACCCCCTCGGATGTGACATAGCACCCAAAGGAAGGAGCACTGCCAATATTAGCGAGGCACACTGAACTCTGTCTCGTCCACAGCTCGCTGCCTTCTTCGCTGAGTCTCTGCCCAGTGTGGGTGGGCAGATCATTCCCCCTGCTGGCTACTTCTCCCAGGTGGCAGAGTGAGTAGAGGGGCAGGCTTTTCATTTTTTAATTAATTGGGTTTTCTGAGTTCTGTTACAAATTACAACTACAACCTGGCCTCCCTGCCTGAAATTTCTGAAACAAACCCTTAAAGAAATAATGGCACAGAGAAGGCCAGCCATTTGCCCAAAGTGAAGGCTCAATACCCCAGGACTTCCAACCCCGGTTTCTCTCACCACAGCCCTGTCTGCCATCTATCCTCCACAGGCATATTCGCAAGGCCGGAGGGCTCTTTGTCGCAGATGAGATCCAGGTTGGTTTTGGCCGAGTAGGCAAGCACTTTTGGGCCTTCCAGCTGGAGGGGGAAAACTTCGTCCCTGACATTGTCACCATGGGAAAGTGCATCGGCAATGGTCACCCTGTTGCTTGTGTGGCCACTACCCAAGCTGTGTCAAGGGCATTTGAAGCCACTGGTGTAGAATACTTCAATACGGTGAGTAACGCTGCAGGGCAAGGACCCTAGTAGCTGCCACTCAATGACCATGTCCTTTGTCAGTGAAGGCTTCTGGGCTTCCATTGTGTACAACACACAGATTTCTAAAATGACATCCTCCAAAAGCTACATGTCAGGATTTTTGTTTGTTTGGTGTGTGTGCGTGCGTGCGTGTGTGTATGTGTGTGTAAGAGAGAGACAGAGACACAAAGACACAGAGATAGACAGAGACTCACTGTATAGCCCTGACTAGCCTAGAACTCACTATGTAGAACAAGCTGGCCTTAAACTCACCGAAATCCACCTGTCTCTGCCTCTCAAGTGATGGACTCAAAGGTGTTTGCTGCCTCACCTGGCCCAGGTCAAATTTTTTTTTTAATGCTGTAAAACATCTTTCAAAATTAATATTAATCCAAATGCTGTCACAGATAAGGTTGTATAAAACACAGAATGCAAGAACCCTTTCCATTGGTGATCAAATCCAAGCCTATTGGTGCTATGCAAATGCCTTGCCACTGAGCTACACCTGACTCCCAAGGAAGGGTTCCCTTCATAGAGACATGAGGTCTAAAGTACCCTTTGGAAAAATATTTGGCCACCAGTGTAGAGAAAAAAGTGGAGTCCAGAGACTGGATCTGGCCAGGAGCAGGAATGGACTTGGGTACTCACAACTGTTTTTTGGATTTCCACAGTAATCCACTTGAATTTTTAAGGAAGTCAGCATTTGGCAAGATGTCAGATGGGCAACAAAGGTCAGTGTGAGCAAGAGAAGTGGCGTCTGCTTTGGTGCCGTCAGCAGATTTTACTCTGTCCAAATGACAAACACCCTCTGCCCTGGGTGGGCCTGTGTCAAGAAACACTCCTAGACTTGACTGTGACACTGGAGAGCCTAGCTTGGTGGATGCTGGGAGAAGAGAAGGGACGCTCAAGGCAAAAAGCAGAAACAGGGCTGAGGAACAGGGAATGGAGACAGAGAACTCAAGAGCAGCAGTTAGCCAGCTGCGGAGGGAGGGTTGTTGCCCAATGGGGCCTGACCCTGACTCTTCCTAGTACATAAACTAAATTCAGCTCTTGTTCTCTCTGGATAGCCTCCTCTAGTTAGCTGATTACTTGGCTATTTTTGTTAAGGTTTTTACATTTATTTATTTATTTATTTATTTATTTGTGTATGAGTGTATTTGCAGCTAACGTGTGGTCTGAAGACAACTTTCAGGCATCATTTGCTTCCATCATGAGTTCTGGGATTTTAATTCAGTTTTAATGACAGGTACCTTAACCCACTAAGCTATCTCACCAGCTCTATTTGGTTACTTATAAACCCATGAGATGCCATCACCTCAGATAAAAAAATGAGGATCCTGACTCTCCTTTCATCTATGCTGGTGTTTGTCCCTTCACTGGTGATTCTGAAACCATGTTTGTTCTAGTTGCTTTTTGGCTTTACTTGAACCCTATCATAATGCACATTAACTCTAGGGAGTCTACATTCTTCACCGGACCCTACCAAGAACCATCCATATTGTCACTCATTTCCCTGCTTTAGAACATCCATACTTTGCTCGTCCATATCTGACGATGTGCTCTGAGGCTCTTCCCTGTGTCTTCTGTGAATAGTACTACCACGAAAATTCTTTGTTTGGTTGGTTTTTGTTTTTTGAGACAGGGTTTCTCTGTAGCTTTGGAGCCAGCCCTGGAACTAGCTCTTGTAGACCAGGCTGGCCTCGAATTCACAGAGATCCACCTGCCTCTGCCTCCCGAGTTCTGGGATTAAAGGTGTGCGCCACCACCGCTTGACTGAAAATTCTTAACAGTCTGTCAGTCTGTTTTCCATGTGTAGAAAGACCAGTTACAAATTAACCCGGAAGTAGAATTGCTGGGCCAGAGGGTGTGTCTATACTCAACTTTAAAAGATAATGTCATGCTTTCCAAAGTAATTCACAGGTCAAAAGAGCTTCACCAGTAGTGTATTTGGGGTTTGTTGTTTGTGAGAGGGTCTTACTGTGAAAAGCCCTAGCTGACCTGGTACTGAATACATAATCCATCTGACTTAGAACTGATGGCAATCTTCCAATTTCAGCTAAGGGCCAGGATTACAGGCATTCACTTCTGTGCTCCACTTCTCATCAACACATATCTTGCCAGTCGAGGGAAATATAAAATAGTGATCCATGTGGTTGATATGCTGTTCCCCAAATTCTTATTTTGTGAAGTATTCCCATGTGTTTTAGAGTTTTAATAGATTGATTTCATGTATCTTGAAACCTTGCAGGAATTGGTTCTCTCCTACCAATGTGAGTCCTAGGGATCAAACTCTGGGCTTGTAGATAAGGCCCTTCTTATCTACAGGTGTTTCTGTGTGAGATACCCATGCAAGCACACACACCTAGGTTGAGGTTAGTGTCCTGCCAGTGGTGTATACTGCGAATATGTTCCTTCAGTAGGCAGCGGTCTTCACTTCCTTTACAAGAAACCACAGAAACAAATTATCAATCTGTTTTGGTTTTGAGAGACCTGGCTAGCTTCAAACTCATTGAGATCCTCCTGCTTATGCCTCCTAAATTCTGGGAGTTCTGAGATTAACGGCATGCACCTCTGTGCTACTTGGTATCTGGATTCCAGGGATCGAACTCAGGTCATCAGACTTGCACATCTGGCTCTTACCTAATGAGCGCCCTAGACATCTCATTGACCCCAAAATTTTTACAGTTTTATATGAAACCAGGCGTGGTGGTGCATGCCTTTAATTCCAGCACTTAGGAGGCAGAGGCAAACAGACTGCTGAATTCAAGGCCAGCCTGGTCTATATAACAGTGAGTTATAGACCAGCTATGGCTACACTGTGAAGCCTTACCTCAAAAAAATAAAGTAAAAAAATACATTTTAGATGATCCAATTTGTCTAATTTTTGATGGTTGTTGCTTTTACTTAAGACTGTTTAACCTCAAAAAAAAATCCTATGTAAAAATAGCTGTCTTAACATCCTGGGTAAGAGGGACTTGAAATACAATTAAATACATATAGGGCATTTAAGCATCTTGGCCAGTGTATGGAAATGCTTATATATATCTGTCTACAGTGGGCTGGAAGTATATAGCTCAGTGCTAGAGCAATGTTTAGCAGGCCCTTGGTTTCATCCCAGCACCATAAAAGACATCTTTATAGACCCAGGCAATGCTGGAGCACAAATACTCTGCCACTAAGCTATATCCCTTGTCTCCTCCCAAACATTTTTAAAATGGGGGGGGGCACACGACTGACAAGATAATTCAGTACATAATGTAGCTTGCCCTACAAACATGAGAACCAAGTCCAATCTCTAGACCCCATGTAAAAAAAAATCAGGCTTAGTGGCACAGACCTGTTATCTCAGAGATAGGAAGCAGAGACTGGACTCCTGGGATTACTATAGAGCCAGCATTGTCTTAATTGGTCAGCTCCAGATCCTAGTGAAAAATTATATCTCAAAAAACAAGACAGATGTCTTCTAAGAACATCCACCACATCCAAGGTTAGGTTGACCTCTGCACCCATATGGACACGCACCTGCATACAGAAACTTTTTCAAACAGTCTCACAATACAGCCCTAGTTGAACTATGTAGACTAGGCTGGTCTCGAACTCAAAGAGACCCACCTGCCTTTTTTTTTTTTTTTCAAGACAGGGTTTCTCTGTAGCTTTGGAGCCTGTCCTGGAACTAGCTCTTGTAGACCAGGCTGGTCTTGAACACACAGAGATTCGCACAGAGATCTATCTGCCTGTGTCCCGAATGTGTGCTGGGATTAAAGGCATGCGCCACCACCGCCCTGCCCACCTGCTTTTGCTCAAATGTTACTGACATTTAAATGTTGCTGTGTTTGCCGACAGTTCTATTCCCTCTGCATAGCCATGGCTGTCCTGGAACTCTGTAGATCAGACTGGACTGTTTTTTGTTTTTTGGTTTTCTGTTGCTTTGGAGTCTGACCTGGAACTTGCTCCTACACCAAGTTGGCCTTGAACTCAGAGATCCACCTGCCTAAGCCTGAGTGCTTGCTGGGATTAAAGGTGTGTGCAGCCACCACCACTGGCCTCTGCCTCTTAAGTGCTGGGGTTAAAGGCATGAGCCACTACCATCCAGCAGCAACTTGAGAGACAAATACAATCCATTCTAAGCTATCAGACTCTTGCAGCATTTTCAAATCCTCTTCTGCCTTTCTGTCTCCTCAAAGTTGCGTTTTTGTTTTTTTCAAGTAAGCTGGGTTTATTGGGGTTCACAGAGACTGAAGTGACAAACAGGGACCTTGTGTAGGTTTGACCTAGGTCCTTTACATATATAGTATAATTTTTTTGTTGTTTTTTGGGGGGTTTTTTGTTTTTTTTTATTAAAATATGAAAGTTTCCATTTTCGCCCCTCCTCCCACTCCCCCCACCAAAGTTGCATTTTTAAGGTGATTGAGACTCTGGTTTTGATTTTGGCACTGGACAGGGATATCAGGTGTTGCTGAAGCTATCCCCAAAACTCCTGGGCTCAAACAATCCTACCCCCATGAAGGTGGGATGAGTTTGAGTTCTGTAGTTTGTCACTTTGCATATACTGTAGGAGGGCAGGGGTGCTGATGGGTTCCAGAGCACACATACAGGTCAGAGGACCACGCTGTGGAAGTGATCCTCTCCCTCACCTTCCTCATCAGGCAATCTCTGCAGCAATTTACAAGCCATCTTGTTTTTGTGTACATGCATGCACATGTAAAGGCCATGCTTCCTCCTGTCCCCCACCTGCCTCACCTCCACTGCTAGGACAGAACATGCAGTTCTGTCCAGCCTTTTACATCAATGCTGGGAATTTATACCTGCATGTTTACAGTAGCAAGTGTTCTTACCCACTATTCATCTCCCCAGTCCCAGTATTTTTTTTTGAAAGGTCTCATTGATCCCAAGCAGGCCTTTAACTCCACATACAGTAGAAGGGGACCTGATTCTCCTCTAACTTCCAGATACTGAGATTACAGACATGAGCCACCATCCCTTTTTTTTTAGTGCTACAGACTGAACCCAAGGCTTCCAGTTTGCTAGGAACTCTTCAAGACAGTTTCTTTTGTATAACCTTAGCTGTTCTGGGATTAGCTATGTAGATCAATCTGTCTGCCTCTGCCTCCCTACTGCTGGGAATAAAGGTGTGCACCACCACTGCCCAGTTTAGGCAGAACTCTTAACATGTGAGCCATTCTCCATTTCTGCTTATTTTTTTTCAAAAGATTTCTGATCTTACCCGTGTCTTTGTGTACCATGTATATGCCTGGTGCCAAGATCAGGGGAGGAGCTGAACCAGTTCTAAGTCTCTTGCTTACCTTATAACCTGGCCTGGGTTGAAGACCTACAAGACAACAACATCACAGAGGACAGCCCAAAGTGTTGAAAGCTTTGGGCCTATAACCTTCCCAGTCGTTTTTGTGGCAATTCCATGGGATTGTGGTCCGTTTGGCAAAGCATCTGACATTGCTGTCCCTTGGTTCAGTTTGGTGGCAACCCAGTGTCCTGTGCTGTGGGGCTGGCAGTCCTGGATGTCTTGAAAACAGAGCAGCTCCAGGCTCATGCTGCTAATGTGGGCAGTTTCCTAATGGAGCACCTCAGCCAACAGAAAGCCAAGCATCCTATCATTGGAGATGTCAGGTAAGGTTCTGGGAGCAACAGGCTTGACTAACCAAGTATGTATTAGGGGATCAGCATTGTTCCATTTTTCAACCTTGGGATAAAAATGTCTACATCCACTCTCTAGAAGGAACTGGGATTCTGAAGATCCCCAGCTTTCTCCACCCCACAATCTCCAGGGTGAAGGGGGTGGCTGAGGCCAGGACCATGGCTATAAAGATGTCACCTCCTTCAGGGGCTCTGGGCTCTTCATCGGTGTGGATTTGATCAAAGATGAGACCCTGAGGACACCAGCAACTGAAGAGGCAGAATACTTGGTTTCCAGGTATTTTTTTCCTGAAATAAACTGCCTTCCCCAAATACAAAGCACTTTGGATCCCAGCAACCCTAGCAATGAGCCTCCAGTTGTCTAGGCCCTAATCCTTGGCTGAAAGCCTGTAGCAGCCAACCACGGAAAAACCCAGGGTTTGAATGTGCCTTTATTCACATGTAAAACATGTTAATTTACCTACTCAACAGTAATGGGCCCCAGACAGGGTATCTACTCCACAATCCCAAACTGTCAGGTGACGACATCACCCAGCTCAGGCTAGTGTTCTTAACTGTAGCCATCCTAAGCAGTGCTGGGCTTTGCCCTGGGTCTGACCTAACATTTGTCTTGGACAAAGACTAGGAAATCAAAACGAATGCCGTCAAGTAATCAGCACCTGAGCCGGGTAGAGGCAATGAACTGGGTGAGTATGGTGAGGTGGTAGCTGGATTATAGTTAGAGCCTTTAAGGGCAGCCTGGGCAACTTAATAAAACCTTGTAGAGCTAAAAGATGGTGCAACATCTTAATCTCAGTTCTCAGGAAAACAGGGAGGCTTACTGTGAGCTGGAGGCTAGCCTGGTCTGGCACAAGTCCCAGGACAAAAAAAACCAGAGCTACATAAGTCAGTGGCAGGCTCAGTACAATGGTGGGGACCAATTATTTTGTCAAACTTAAGGTATGGTTGAGTGCCTGTCAAGGTTATCTCCAGAATGAAGACTGTTAAGTATCTTTTTCTTACAGGCTGAAAGAGAACTATATTTTACTGAGCACTGATGGCCCTGGGAGGAATGTCCTGAAGTTCAAGCCTCCGATGTGCTTCAGCCTGGACAATGCACAGCATGTAGTAGCAAAGATAGATGACATTCTAACAGGTAAGTCTGGTACGAGCATCAGGCCCTGGCTTTGATCCTCAACACCAGTAGCTAGAGCCTCCCCAGCATGTACCAGGGAACATGTAACAAGTAACATCTTGAACATGTTACATGTAACATCTTCTGCGTTAGAAAGCTCAAAAGCATGACTTTTGTAATCATTACCTACATGCACTGACAGGCATCAATGTGGAATGTAGAGCCGGACATGGTGGCAACCACCTATGATCTCAGCACTTGATGGGTGTGATGGGTGGAATGGGGGAGATCACACTCCAAATTAATTCTGGGCTCCCTTTATTTAAAAAAAAAAAATTCAAAAGTCCTCACATTGGGTCAGGCAACAGTGGTGCCTACCTTTAGTTCCAGGAAAAAATCCATGCTTATGCATACTGTAAATATTTTATCTTCAAGCTAGGGATAAACTGCTGAGGAGACTAAAATGACTGCAACGAAATTCTCCCCACAACCTCTAAACCAAAGGTTACGGGCAGCCCAAGGTTTCCCTTGATTTTTGTAGCGAAACTACCAAATTAAATGACTAGACACCAAAGCGGTTGTTATACAGAGCTCAGATGTTAACAGACAAAAAAAAATGACGAACAAGGAACCCTTGATCTCTGTCAGTTAAGTGCTAACCGGTTCAGTCTAATGGATGTTTCAAATTGGTACAGCTCTAAGAGTTCTGTGTATAAAACACAGAGACTTAATTAGAAACAGAACTGCTTTGGGCTCGCACCTGGTACCATTTGTTAGGGATTAAATGGTGAGGCATAAGCCTGGCTATACAAAAGTAAACCCAACCTCAGAACTATCATCTCAAGCATCCTAGGAACTGAAAGTAGCAGAGAATGGGGACTCATGTAGGGCAGATCTGTAGTCATCTGTGGTCTTTTTTTTCTAGATATGGAAGAAAAAGTAAGAAGTTGTAAAACACTGAAGATCCAGCCCAACTCAGTCAAGCACCTTTCAGGTAAGCGGGACTTGTGTTTGTCCCCAGAGAGTCCCCAATACTTCAACTTTCATCTGCTGGATAACTGAAAGACACTAAGGATCTGTAACATATACGTGATAAGATGTCCTCTAGGTATGAAGGCTGAGAACAAAATGGTAGCTGAAAAGATCAGGTGAAAATAGTTGAAGGACCCCTGCTACAGGAGACCCCAGTCCCAGAGTAATATCTGGTACCTCCAACACTGGGCAAGGTCTCACAGAGCATCCCACACTCACCCAGGCGTGGGGGTTTTTTAATTTTTATTTCAAAAGCTTGGATAGCTTCAATATCCAGGTCGTGGCAAAATCAGGACACGTGTAAAATACCTTACAATACATTAGATTCCCAAAAGGTACCAAAAAGTACAGTAAAATTAACACTTCCATTACTGGAAATGTATGACACAAATAATATAAAATTAAAAGGTGAAAAAGGTGACACTGGTTTCCTAAGATACAGTTTACTCTTTACAACCAGGGTCCACAGGTCCAGGCTGCAGAGCGACAGCAGGAAAGAGACCCTCCAATCTAGTACAGGGTAACCTGGTAATAAAATCAGCCCCCTAATGCCACTCTGGCCTCTTGAGACGCCACACGCTGCCTACAACTAGAGCTCTGGAATAGCAAACAGGAGAGTGATTTCTGGGGGAAATTTTAAATAAGATGCACATGGGACAGGCCATAAAAGTTTGCCAAGTTAAATTTGGTACATAATTGTGTTCACTCCGCGTCCAAACAAAGCGTGTGCGGTCGTCTGTCGGCCGCTCCTGCTGCTTTTCAGTATGGCTTGTAGTTATTCTGATGGCCACCACGTCGCTGGCTCTTCCCGTAATTTGTACTACCCTGACCTAGGAGTAAAAACAATGTTGCAGCTACTACTTAACTGTACATTTTTACCCAGTGCCAGGCGCTTGTCACATCCTCCCTGCGCAGCAACACCAGCTTCTCACACCTTACTGAGAAAGCTGAATTAGAATGGAGCTCCATGTGGTAGCTCCAGTGTCTGAACCAGGCCTGTCTGACTCCAAAGCCCCTGCTGCCAGTGGCCCCTGCACTATCTGACCTGCCTCCCCTAGGAGGAAGTAGATGGGGCCTCCCTCTCCTACTTACTGTAGTCGTAGCCGGGGCCGTAGCCGTAATAGCCATAGGGCGAGTAGTCGTAGCCGCCATAGCCAGGCCCGTAGCCCTGCTGGTAGCCGTAGCCCTGGTTCCAGTAGTTCCCGTAGCCCTGATTCCAACTCTGACTCTGACCTGTGGGGGGAGCAGGGCACAGGGGCCCATGGACCATTTAGCACACGCAGGAGCTAGGATGGAGGAAATCCTGCCCTTTGGGTGGCGGGGTTACTATGGCAGCTCTGGTAGAGAGGGCCCTAGGCCCAGCCTTGCAATCCAGGAGGTAACTTCACTTGGAGTATAGAAGTTTACTCACACTCACTCAAATCACTCTCTGGTCACCTCCACCCTCCCCTGGTAGCTTTGCATTGAAAAAAGATGCAGTTCAGGCTTTGGAGTTAGAGGGGCCTGGGATGGAAGGAGCTAAGCGCCTGGCACAGCTTTGCCTTTCTGCCCTCAGGTATGTTGTGTACCAAGACTCAGGACAGTCAAAGCAAAGCACAATCCACTGTGCCCCCATCATTCTCCCAGGGCAATGCAAACGCCCCCTTGGCCTGGAGCCCCAAGCTGCACAATGAGAAAGATAGGGCTCTTTCATTCCGTGGAGCCATGAGCCACAGCAGCACAAGCACACAGCCTCCACCCAGGAAAACCACTCATTCCTATCCCTGAGCTGTACCCACTTCACACCCAGCCGCCCACCCTACTGCACAGAACACCAAGAGGCAATCCCCAAGACAGGCACAGAAAGCTCCTTGCAGGCAGGGAAAGTCTTCATCCAGCTTCCACTTACCTCCACCTCCACCACTGCCTCGGTTCCCTCGATTGCGGTTTCCTCGGCCCCCAGAGCCATACTGCTGTTGCTGATAGACCTCTTTGGGCTGGGCAACCTTGATTTCACACTAAAAGCCAAGAGGATACTAGGTCAAGTCCTGTGGGACAGTTCAGGGCTAGGATGCTGCAAAGACCTCTATCTGCTATACAGCCAATACTCAGATGTGGGCAGGAGGTCTTACACCTGACCTGAAAACTAGAACCACAGCTAAAACCATACTAGGCAAGTTCAGAATTCCCAAAGATCATGGGTACTAAGCTTTTTTATTCTTTTTACAGAAGAAACTCAACCTACTCAAATACAACAGGATGGAAAGCTGACCTCCACCTTAAAGATAAAGCAAGTGTAAGGCTTTGTTTAAAGCCATACTGCCTGCCACCCTCCTCTCTAAGCATTGACCCATTGAGAGAGATGAGCATCTAAATACGAACAGGACCCAGTCAGACTCACTTTTATGTCTGAAAACTTTGAAGGGGATGTATATTTCTAAAGACAGTCCTAACACTGTCTTTAGAACATAACATAAAAAAGGAAAGAAAAAAAGAAAAAGGTAAATGAGCTAGGCATGATACATGCCTTTAATCTCAGTTCACTTGGAGGCAGAAGTTTGAGACTAGCATGTTACAGAGAGAGCTCCAGTTCTGATAGGGCAGCAGTGAAGTACTGTCTCAAAAGGGGGGGTCGGATGATGCATATTATCTCCTACCATGATGTGCCTTTTATTTTATCTTACTGAATTAAAGACACTGAGTAAACTGGGCAGGTGGCACACACCTTTAATACTAGGAGACAGAGGCAAGCCAGTGAGTTCAAAGCCAACCTAGTCTAGAGTGGGTTCTGGGACAGTCAGGACCACCCCACCCCCCCAAAAAGAAAAACATATCTAAAAGTAGAAGGAAAAAAGACACTGAGTAATTTAACTTGAATATTTACTTCTAAAGCAGCAGTTTTCACTACCAGAGGGCTCAAGGATCTTCCTACTACTTCACATTAGGGCACACCAGAAAAAGAAAAATGTCAGTGTCTGCTGGAAAAACTAAGAATCCCCAATCCAAGCTGTTAAATCTCCCAACAAGGGAAAGAACCTTCCTGGAGTCTCACCCTATCTTATCGGCTGCCACTCCAGTAACTTACACTCAGTGCCACACCTCCTATCTATCCGAACCAACTTGAAAATCTATTACTCCACTAAACATGACTCCACATTTGCAATCAGCTTCCAGAATCCCAAGGAGCTTTAGTCTTTGGGTTGACTAAAGCACACCCAAATGGGACAAGCTATGGAGCAGGAAAAACGTGACTGCACGTTTCATAACCCCTGGACTGTATGTACACTATCGGGCACCAAAGAATCTATCTAGTCAGGCCTGGCAGTGGTGGCAGCGGCACAGGCCTTTAATCCTGTTCAAGGCTAGCCTGGTCTACGAAGTGAGTTCCAGGACAGCCAGAGCTGTAACAGAGAACCCCGTCTCAAAAAATAAAAACCACAAACCAAAACAACAAAAAAAGAAACTAGTTAGCAGCTCTAACTAGTCACAGAAGTCTGGCTTCCTCTTTGCCTCCTTTGAACACATTTCAGTTTTTACTAACACACCTTGTGCATATAAAATACAGTGTCTACAGATGCCAGAGAGCATCAGAGACCTTGAATTGTAGCTACAGGCTCACAGATGGTTTGTGAGTCACCATGGGTGCTATGAATGGACCAGGTCTTAAGAGTCAGTGCTCTTAGCCACTGAACCAGCTGTTTCCAGCCCAGCTTTTATTTAAAGGCCTATACCATCTGTTTTAATCAGCAATGTGAAGCATAGAGAAACAGTAAAGTGTTACTAATCTAGAAGGGGCTTATAGGTAGCCCAATATAATCTACACCTCCAAGAGCCAAAAGCAAGTGAAGCAGAGTTCTGATACCTTACCTTGCTTCCACTGACAGTATGAAACTTTTTCTCCAGAACTTTCTTCACGGGGTCTTCCTCTTTAAATGTAATAAAAACAAAACCCCGTCTTTTGTTCAACTTGGGATCTATTGGAAGTTCAATGGCTTCGATCTGTAAAAACATAAGCAAAGCTCAGGTTTAAACCTCTGGTGCCCAAAAATATAAACCTAAGAAAAGACTAAAAGGGGAGAAAATCCTACTAATACTCTAGTCAGGCTGGGCCAAAGACCATACTCACCTCCCCAAACTGGCCAAAGTATTCTCTGATCTTTTCTTCTGTGGCTTCAGGATTCAGACCGCCCACAAAGATTTTCTTAACAGGATCCTTCTTCATAGCCATAGCCTTTTTAGGGTCAATGACACGACCATCCAGCCTGTGTTCCTTCTGGTCTAAGACCTGTGTAAAACAGAATCATGTCAGGTTCTAACTGACAGAAGTACACAAAATGGGCTTAATTTCTCTGGAGCTAAACCAAACTGACTTCCTAACCCAATTTTCCAAACCTCCCATACCAATAACCACCTGAACACTACAAGCCAACCCCCAGCAGCCTTTGTCCATGCTCTACACTCACTCTTCCTAGCCAGCCGTCCAACTTAAGACCCACCTCCTTTCAAAAAGAACACAGGATAATCCAGTGCTGAAATCCTCTCTACCCTGGATGAATCATGCACTCTCACGTCTGAGATTCAGGATCTGGGGTCCCATCCCTATTAAAACTGTATAAAAAAAACCTATCTTCACTGTAATCTTGGATTTATAATCCCCATAGTAAAATTAACATCAAGCCCATGAATAGGCATATAAAATAAGTGATAAGGGAGAGCTGAAGGCAGGACTCTAGTTCCTGCCCAGCTAACTGCTCTCTTGAAGGAGGCTAAGCTTTTAAAATAGTATGAACTGGGCCAGGTGGGGGTTGTGCACTTGGGAGGCAGACAGCCAGATCTTTTGAGTTCGAAGCCAGCCTGGTCTACAAAGAGAGTTACAGGACAGGCTACAAAGTTACAGAGAAACCCTGTCTCAGGGGGGGGAAAAAAAAAAGCAGATGAACTGGACTCCTCCAGAATCACTCCCTTACAATATATAGCCTACTTCATCTGCACTATCCCTCAAAGCAGGATCTTAAGCTCTTTGTCCCTATCAAACACTGCATTGCACATGAGTTCCTTAAAACTCAATCCTAACAGACTGCAGCTAAACAGCCAGCTTACCTTCTCCACACTCGAAGAATCTTTAAAAAGGATAAACCCAAACCCTCTTGATCGCCCAGTGTTTGGATCCATTTTAATTGTACAGTCAACGACCTCTCCAAACTTAGTAAAGTAATCCTTTAAATCTTTCTTGCTGGTATCCCAGCTCAGTCCACCAACAAACATTTTTCTGAAAGGGAAACGACCACAAATTTTGGAAAAGGGTTGCGATTTTAACACATTTTTACGAAAGTCTGACCCGGATACGCTTTCCTGGCTTGTGAAGCCACCGTCCCATGGGCCAGTCTGCGATCGCGCCACCTTTCAAGTTAATCCCTAGGTGTTACTCGGCAATCGCGACTCAACAGAATTCACAGCTGATGTAGACACACTGTGTGGGAAAAGTTAAGGTGAACCTGGTCGCAAGCATGCCCCATGACCTATCATAAGTTTAAATGAGCGTGTCCCGCAAGCCTGAGTCTAAACAAAACAAGCTCCTTTCCGTTCTTCCCCGCCTCCAAAGAACCGGTCCCGAGGAACTCTGGGTTTCCAGGGGCCGAGAGCGCCCCAGGGTTCAGGCCGTGACTCCGCCTCTCGACCCGAGGCAAGCTAGGCCGGGCCTGCCGCGCGCCAACTCCGCCCACGCAGCCCAGACGCAGCGCTCGCCGACCGAGTCGAGGTCGGCCGCTTTTCCTCTTCCGGGGCCTCCCGCCCCGAGGCCCGCTGCAGCCTAAGCCCCGCGCGGGAAGCCCAGGGCGCCCGCAAAGTCGACCCCACAAACTCCTGCAAACTCCAATGCGCGT